TGGAGATGAGGCTCAGGCCCCAGGAGGGGTGTGCAGGGGCAGCATACCTGAGCAGAAAGAGCCCATTTCATGGCATTGTGGGGCCTGAACCCTGCCATCTGGGTCCATTCTCTAGAGCAGTGCAGGATCCTGTTGAATTTCAACAAGGGCAAGTGTCGGGTGCTGTACCTGGGGTGGTTGAACCCCATGCACCAGTACAGGCTGGGGGCTGACCTGCTGGGAAGCAGCTCTGCCAAGACGGACCTGGGAGTCCTGGTGTACGACAAGCTGACCATGAGCCAGCAGTGGGCCCTTGTTGCCAAGAAGGCCAATGGCAACATGGGGTGCATTAAGAGGAACGTGGCCAGCAGGGCGAGGGAGGTTCTGCTCCCCCTCTACCCTGCCCTGGTAAGACCCCACCTGGAGCACGGAGCTTTGCTTGTTCAGCCTGAAGAAGAGAAGGCTGAGACGGGATCTCATCGACACTTACAAATATCTCAAGGGTGGAAGTCACAAGGACAGAGCCAGACTCTTCTCGGTGGAGCCCAGTAACAGGACAAGGGGCAATGGGCACAAACTGAAGCAGAAGAGGTTCCAGTTGAATGTGAGGAAGAACTTCTTGACTTTGAGGGTGACAGAGCACTGGAACAGGCTGCCCAGGGGGGCTGTGGAGTCTCCTTCTCTGGAGATACTCAAAGCCCGCCTGGATGATGTCCTGTGCAACATGCTCTGTGTGAGCCTGCTTGAGCAGGGGGGTCGGACTGGGTGATCTCCCAAGGTCCCTTCCAACCCCGGCCATTCTGTGATTCTGTGATTTTCTTGCCCCCCACCAAGCCAGCTGACTTTTGTGGGAGATGTTGGAGAGAGAAAGCCTTGATGCCCTGCAAGCAATGTTCAGCAACAGCCAGAACCCTGGTGTGGGATCAGCACTGGTTTATCCAGCAATGCAAAGCACAGTGCTTAGAGGGGCTGCTACAAAGTTAACTCCATCCCAGCCAGGCTTGGTACAAGGATGCTTGGTCAGAGTAGGTGAAAGGATGTGGCCTAGGGGCAGGGATGGGAGGAAAGGACAAAACACAGTGAGGACAAGAAGCAGAAAGGGCAGAATTTCTCATGACTTTTAGGGGAGAATAAGCCTACCATGATACTGTACGAGTGCTGGGTCAGGAGAAATCCCTGACCAAACTGATCTACCTGTCAAGTTCTCCCTGCTCAGACCAGACCATGGTGCTAGAGGCCTCCAGAGGTCCCATCCAGTCAGCACTGGATGGCGGCAAGGAGCTGGGCAGTGGAGGCAGGGGTCGTGGGCACTGCTGTGTGTTGAGGTTGTGCTGGCCTTTGTAATCTGTGATTGTCCCTGTCCTCAGGATTACTCCATGAGCACCAGGAGTCCAACCAGCACAGGGATACCACAGAAAATTGCTCAGAACCGCTACTGGGTATTCTAAAAGCACAGAATAATGAGGCTTGGAAGAGGCCTCTTGGAGACTGCCTAATCCAACTCCTTCCTACTCAAGCACAGTCAGCTGGAGCAGCTTGTCCAGTACTGGCTGTAGACAGCCTTTGAATACGCCCAAGGAGGGAGATTGAACAATCTCTTTGGGAAAGAGCTTCCAGTAGTCAGACACCCACCGTAAAGAGGTGGTTTCTTATGTTCGGATGACATTTCCTGGATTTCTGTTTGTGCCTATCATCCCGTGTCTGGCTCCCTCTTCTTCCGTCAATGTACATTGACAAGAAGCACTCCCCTCACCCTGAGCCTTCTTTTCTCCAGGAAAACTGTCCCAGGTCTCTCAGCCTCTCTTGGTATGAAAGATGCTCCAGTCCGCTCATCATCTTTGTGGCCCTTTTCTGGACTTCCTCCACCAAGCTCATGTCCCAGTTATACTGGGGAGCCCAGCACTGGACCCAGTACCACAGCGGTGGTGTCACCAGTGTTGAGTAGAGAGGGAGGATCACTTCCCTCGACCTGCTGGCAATGCTATTCCCAATGCAACCTGTGACGCTGTAGGCCTGCTTTGCTGCAAGGGCACACTGCTCGCTCTTCGTCTGCTTGTCTACCAGAAAGGTTCTTCCCTGTCAAACTGTTGAGAAGCTCTCAGTCACTCAACCCCCAACTTGTCCTGCTGCAGGGCATTATTTCTCCCTATGTGCAGGACTTGCTTTTCCCGTTGTTGAACTTCATGAGGTTCCTCTCTGCCCAGTTCTCCAGCCAGTTGAGGTCTCTCTGAATGGCAGAACACCCATCTGGTGTCTCAGCCACTTCTGCCAGTTTTGTGTCATCAGCAACTTGTTGAGGGTGCACCATGCCCAGGTTGTTAACAAAGAGCTTAAGCAGCATAGGACCTAGTATCAGTCCCTGGGGCACAGAATGAGGGACTGGCCTCCTGCTGGACTTTGTGCTCCTGGTCACAACCCTCTGGCTGTTACAGTCCACCTCACTTTGCACTTGTCCAGTGTACATTTCATCAGCATGTCCAGGAGGACGTTAGAGGAAGTAGGCTAATATTCCTGGATGACACTCTTAGTCATATGGTTTAGTTTTAGGAAGTCCTGCAAGGAGCAGGGAGCTGGACTCAATGAACATTTGTGAGTCCCTTCTAACTTTAGATATTCTATCACTTCCCAGATCTTTCTTCTTGCCTTTCTTCAAGACAGGACTGACATTTGCTTACTTCCAGTGCTCAGGAATCTCCCCGAGTGGTGGTGTGTTGCCTCTAGGGCTGGAAACATTTGAAGTTCAAAGTATAATTGTGAATGACTAATTGTTCAGGTTGGGCCCTCCTCATAGCCTGCACCATCTCTGCTTTGCTTCGTGATGACAAGTGAGAGTGACGCCTGCATGAAGTTATGGTGGGAGGGTGATGATATTCTAACTCCTCCAACGTCCTTGGCAGATTCAAGAGTGTCCAACGGGATTGGAAGAGCTGTAAACATCTCAGGACACTCAGGCTAAATGCGTAGCATTGACTTTCTCACTGTGGTAGATTGAGAACACTGGATTTGTTCACTCAGGAAAAAAAGAAGGCTTTGGGGAGACCCTAGAACAGCCTTCCCACACCTCCCAGGAGGTAATTTGGAAGAGTCAGGCTCTTCACTCTTGTGTGTGATGGGATGAATCATAGAATCATAGAATGTTTTGGGTTGGAAGGGACCCCCAGAGGTCATCTAGTCCAACCCCCCTGCAGTGAGCAGGGACACTGCTGACTAGATCAGGTTGCTCAGAGCCCCATCCAACCTGGCCTTGATGGATGAAGGTTGTCAATGATCAATGAGGTTTCCCAGAGAGCAGCTGCCATCTCCAGCTTTGGAGGTTTTGAAGCCCAACGGGAACAATGTCCTGTGCAACATGGTCTGAGCCCACAGGTGACCTTGGTGGGAGCAGGAGGTTGGACTAGAAACCTCCAGAGGTCACTTGCAGCCAGAACAATTCTGTGTTTCCACATACTATGGCTTTTCTCTTGATGATTTTAGGGAAAACACTTCTTCTGTGTATTATAATTATCATCATGATTATTGTTATCATTATTTTTCTTTTCTGTCCTATTAAACTTTCTATATCTCAACATACAATTATTTTTTTCTTCCCACAGTTGTCTCCCCCATCCCACTGGGGAGAGGGAGAGTGAATGAATGGCCATGTGGTGTTCAGCTGCCTGCTGTTCTATACCAAAATTGGTGAGCAGAATTGGCTGGGCTTTGTAACCAGGAGTCAATCAACTTTTCAGATCACAGCCATGATAGTGAGGATCAGATAGCTCTAAGGCTCCACTAGGAAGTCAATCTACATATCAGGATCAGGCCTTTGAGGGTAAGCAGAGTCAGATGCAGTCAAGTGGTACCCAGGCTGGTCTGTAGTAACAACAGAGGTCCAGGAAACAGCAAGGAAGTCACTGTCTGTATCTGAGTCCAGATGAACAGCGCCGAGGGCAAGGCATAGCTGAGGCCAGATCAGTGCTACTGCATCTCATATCAGGCAGGATTGAAAGGCCCAGGCCTGAACTTAACGGAAGCCCCTGGGCCCATGAGGTGGAGGTCCCCTGAGAGGTTGGTCAGGGCTGGTAAAGCCTCTAAGTGCTTCTCAGGGCCCTTGGACCTATTGCAGGTCTTCAAGGAGGACAGATTGCCCAAAAAAATAAGTCCATGGCAGTGTGCAGGTGTTAGTCTGCCATCACCACATTCCAGAAACTCCCAATTCACGTCAAGAAAGCACTCACCTACCAGCAGCCCTATCACATACTGTAGAGCCCCAAGCAGGTTAACTGGAGACCCTTTGCCACATGCATGGGCACTGGCCACCAACAATTATTACCTGAACTTGCCCTCAGTCCCTAAAAGGCCATACAGGAACCCTGATGTCATCACACTGAGCCTGTGGAGAAGCAAGCAAAGCTATGAGCCTCTTTAGACTATGTTCCCTGGACATGTTCTTGACAGTAGCTTTGAAAGAAGACCTAAGCCTTCAGGCATTGCACTCAGGAGATCCTCTTTCATGATAGAAATACTGTTACGGAGGCCACCTCTGTCACAAAAATGCCCATTGCCTGTCCGTGCTTGTGGCCACAGGAATTCTCAAAGCAGGACTGTGACCAAGCTGCAGGACCACACAGACCTTAAACTAATAGAAGGGCTCAGAGGGAGAGTGTGGAGTTGGAAAGAGTTTTCAAAAGAGCAAGCGCCAGTTCTCCCTGCTGTGCTGCTGTGCTAGGACTCTTTTTTCCCTTCACTTCTGCACACATGCACTGCTGCTGAAGTTCCAGAGAAGGTCTTGGGCACACAAGTCAGTGGAGTGTACTTTATTTTATGTAAATGCACACAAATAATGGCTTCTGAAAGTCTCTGGGTCACACATGACCGATACATACTGATCTAGAAATGGTGTGACCAGTGATGTTCCTTTCTGGAAAACGTGGTCACAAGTAGGAAAAAAAAAAAATCAAAACAAACAAAAGGACACGGGAGAAAGAGGCTGTACCTATGAGGAGCTACATTATCAGTAACGTCATAAGATGATGGACTTCTTATTGCTTATGAAAACATCCAGTCATCAGTTTTCTCAGAGAATCCATGAGTTCCTTATTCCTCATGCTGTAGATGAGGGGGTTCACTGCTGGAGGAACCACTGCATACAGCACTGCCACCATCAGATCCAGTGATGGGGAGGACATGGAGGGAGGTTTCAAGTAGGCAAACATGCCAGTGCTGATAAATAGGGAGACCACGGCCAGGTGAGGGAGGCACGTGGAAAAGGCTTTGTGCCGTCCCTGCTGAGAGGGGATCCTCAGCACGGCCCTGAAGATCTGCATATAGGACACCACAATGAAAACAAAACACACAAAAGCTAAACAGACACTGACCACAAGAAGCCAAACTTTCCTGAGGTAGGATTGTGAGCAGGAGAGCTTGATGATCTGGGGGATGTCACAGAAGAACTGGTGCACAGCATTGCCTCCACAGAGGGGAATAGAAAATGCCTTGGCAGTGTGAAGGGAAGAATTGAGAAAAGCACTGCCCCAGGCAGCTGCTGCCATGTGGACACAAGCTCTGCTGCCCAGGAGGGTCCCATAGTGCAGGGGTTTGCAGATGGCAACGTAACGGTCATAGGCCATGACGGTGAGAAGATACAATTCTGCTGAAAGGAAAAAGACAAACAGAAAGAATTGGGCAGCACATCCAGAGTAGGAGATGGCCATGGTGTCCCAGAGGGAATTGGTCATGGATACAGGGACAGTGGTGGAGATGGAAGCCAGGTTGATGAGGGAAAGGTTGAGGAGGAAGAAGTACATGGGGGTGTGGAAGCGGTGGTTGCAGGCTATGGCGGTGATGATGAGGCCATTGCCCAGGAGGGAAGCCAGGTAGATGCCCAGGAAGAGCCAAAAGTGCAAGAGCTGCAGCTTCCGTGTATCCGAGAATGCCAGGAGGAGGAACTGGGTGATGGAACTGCTGTTGGTCATCTGCTGCCTCTGGGCATGGGGCACTGCTCATGGAGAAAAAGACAGTGACAAGTAAGGACAGGCTTTCTGAGCAAAACCTATGCCATTGCTTGTAGACTGTCCCGCTCTGACACATCCACCCTTTTTCCTTCTCTGGGGGAAACCTTCATCCAGGTCCCTGACTCAGCTTCATTGTGTGCTGGCTGAGTGTGCCATGAGCAGCCAGGTCTCTGCATGTGGCCTCTTGAGGAGTCACCCCTGCCCTGCTGCAGTGGGTACGTGGAATGTGGCAGGGGGACTAGGTTGGGTATTGAGAATGTGTCAGACTAAACTACTCCTAATGCAGAAGGGCTTGTTACCCTCTGCACTCACAGTTCTGAAAGCATGTGGGTGGCAGAAAGGAATTTTAGAGAATATTTTCCCTACCTACATGTCATTCCCAGTTCTCTGAATTCAGAAGTCCCTGCATTTCTGCTGCACTCAGAGCTTGTGACTGTAAGACCAAAGAGGCAAAGGGATTGACTGTGGCCTAGAGAAAGGTGAAGGGGGCTGGACAGCCTTATTCCCAAGTGCCCTGCTCTTGCACCTTTGCGTATCAGAGGGCGATCACACTCCCATGTTACCCTGAAAAGACACCAGATACTGCTGGGAGCAGAGGGATCATTAAATGTTTCACCCTTTCTCAGGGTACCTGAGCAAGGTCTCAGCACCCCACGTCTCACCAAAGATGCATGTGATTAATTTCACAAACCCAACGTCCTTTCCTCAGTTGTAGCATCTCTGCACTTCTCCATGGTGCATTCAGATAACACAAAGATGCGATAGGAAAGATTTGAATCCTGGAAGCTCAAAGCTTGGAAGGATGCCCCGAGGAAATACCAAAATGTCCCATTTAAGATAGCTCAGTAAGGGAGACTCAGCTCGTTCCCCAGCCATACAGACTATTTTGCTCAGAGCCTGATTGTTTAGAGGAAAGCTTGGACACTTCATTCCACAGACACACTTGGACATTACTCAGCTGCTGAAACTCCCATCCCCAGAGAGCCTGGCAGCAAGAATGGAATAATAATCACAATAGCTCAGACCAGTGGAAGCACATGTAAAAATACAGTGAGGGTGTGGCTGAGAGACGCCAAGGCAGAGGCAGGAGGTCCCCAGGCAGCGTTACCCTTCCCCACCTCTGCACACCACCTCCCAAGCACCACCATTGCCGGGCAGCTCCTCTCAGCACCTGAGCTCTGCAGAGGGAAATGGCCATGGGGCTGGAGAACTGCCTCACAGCTCTGCTGGAGCTCTGGCCACAGAGGAGCTGGTTCCCGCCTTGGAGCCCACAGCCCTGAGGGCAGAGGCTTTGCTGGCTGGGAGAGGAGCCAGGGGGTCCTCCTCAGAGGAAGGGCTTGGCATTGGAGGGGATCATAGAGAGTTTTCTGAATTCTCCCTCCCACAGAATTTCTGGGTTTGGATTCTTCTCATGCCCTGTTCATATCCCTGCTGCCTGGAGATTGTCACCCTGGGAGATGTTTCCCTGTCCCATGTCTTTTCCCTGTCAGTGCTCACAGACCCCCACCCCAACCTCTGTGCACTCACTGTGGTACTACAGAATCCTGTCTGTTTGCAGGGCACTGGCTGGGCTCATGCTCCTCTTTGAAATTGGAAATTTCAGAGTTTAAGAACCCTGATGTGTCCAGCAGAGGTGATGATGCTGCTGGCCATAGGAAGAAGAGTGGCTGAAGACACTTTACCAGGCTACTGGAATCTTATAGATCAATCACAGTTGCAGTTCAGGAGTCTCAGTGACTTGTTAACACTTGAGAGCCCATTTTCCATTTATCTATTTCTCTCCCCTTCCCTAACCCCTGAAATAGGAAATGCAAAGGCAGACTCAGGAAAGCTCCTTACTTTTATTGCAATCCCTGCCTTGATCTTCTTGAGACATCCCCTTGGAAATATTCTGCAGGTGATTTGGAGCTGTCAGCAGCCCTGACCCATGCAGCACCCTGTTGGCAGTAGAAGGACCATGCCTTGGAGGGGTTTTCCCCTTCCACCCACAGCATTGTACACAAAATCCAAGAGACGCTCAGTGCTGAGCCTGGCAGGCGGCAGAGCCCCGCCCCTGGCACACAGTCCCCTGGGGTGCAGGGATCCTGCTGGGAAGGAGAGCCCTGGACACCCAACCATGCACAACCACCTTTACACCCTGCAGCCATTAGGAGAAGGCAGCCGTCATGCCCTGTCCCTCTAACGGTGCAGTGGAATGTCCCTGATCTGCAGCATGTCCTTCTCCTCTACAGTAGAGAAATTTGTACTCACAGATACCATCAGCTGTGGGATGTGCCACCTTTAGGAGCTTCCTCTCAGGAATGGAAGCTGCATTGCCCTGCAGCCAGGGACTTACCATGTAAAGGGCTGTGATGATTTCTCCAATAGAATAATAACACTCCAGACTGTTTTTAAGCTCTCCCTGCCTCCTTCCTCTTTTCTCAGTGCCTGCAGGCAGTGCCCTCAGCCCTGCTGTGCTTTGCAGAGGAGCTGCTCCTGGGCAGAGCTGTCTCTCTGTAGCGCTGCCCACTTGCCATGAGCTCCCTCCATCCCAGGAGCCCAGCCCAGCTCAGCAGCAGAGGACCAGCCCACAGGCACCTCCCCTGGAGCCCCAGGGAAAACTCGCATGAAACAGGCTGAAGTCATCCCTGATGTTCCCTCTCTCAGCTGGGGAGAGACACTTCTTCCCAGCACTGTAATTTCTCCTGTGAGGAAAAGATTTGGGCATAAGAATCAATTTTCCTTGTCCCATCGTTAGACAGGACACCCAGACAGTTACAAGGAGGTATCTCCTTTGCCCCTGCTGAGGGAAGGGATGTAGATGAGTCCATAGATGCATCTCAGTTTTGGGTTTGTAGTCCTGGAGCTAGAAGGGGACTTAGCCCCCTGCCATGCACAAAATAGTCACCTGCATATGATCTCCTGGTCTCAGCTCCCATGCCAATTAATGGAGAGGGAGAGCAGGACTGGGCTGTTCACACACAACACCTGGTGACATTGAAGGTGTCAGGGGTGGTTGAAGGTATGTGCAGGCAACTGCAGGCTCTCATGGAGCAGTTCATAGAGACAGGGCAACACCAGGGGGAATCCTCTGAGAGGCTGCTGGGAATTTTCTTTGGCCAACTGAAATGGCAGCTGATGCCCAAATTAGGGCAAGTGAACCTGTCCCCACTCATGATGTTCAGTGTAGCCTTTAGAGTTACTCATCTGAACAACTGGAGTCATGTGCTACTGGGAGAGCTCAGGCTCACTCTTTCTCTTCTCCATCAGCTGTATTTACTAGGTCCCCACTCACTGTATTGTCAGTGACCAAACACTGGTTTGGTCACAAACCCAAGACTTAGCAGCATATGGGCTGCTAGGAGGAAAATTAACTCTACTCCAGCCACACCCAGTACACTGAGTCTCCCCTCCCATGACATTCCTGACATCAGTTCTCTCATTCCTGCCCCATTGCAGACCAAGCATCTGCAGTACAAATGTGGGCACCAGATAAACTCCTCCCAAGGCCTTGCACAAGACTTTAGACCTCAAAGAGTATGGAGGTGCCTCAGGGAGGTCCTCCTATCACACACCTTGATGTGCTTCCTCAACTGGTGTTTCTGAGATCCATGAACGGTGAATGGAGAAACACAGTCATCCCCAGAGAATGAGATGGAAGGCCTTGAGAGCTTCTGAACTTTCCAGTCAGTAATTAGGCAGTGATTGGCGGTGTGGAGAGACGTCATCAAGAAGCAAGGTGATGGTTCTCAGCTTTAGCAAATGTTTCCAACCACGCCTGAGCCCAGAAGTGGAAAACCATTGGTGCCTGTAGGTGTGCCCTAGGAGTGTGGCTGAAGCACAGGGCTTGCATGAGAAGTTTTCCTCATGGGAACATGCCTCAACATGGCAGATGGGGCATGCCCGCTGCTGGGGGTGGCTGAACACTGCTCATCAGGCCCCATGAACCGACCTTTCTGTCTTCTTCTCCTTCACTACCCAGGCTTGCCTGGGATTCAGGAAACATTCATGAGCCTGGAGAATGCATGAACCTCCTGCAGTGCAGTCCCATTCCTGCAGGGGAGGTGGGAAGTGTTTGTGAGCCAGCCGGCACTGTAGGGAGAGAGTGGTGTGTGCGTAGAAGAAAACGTCTTACAGGCCAGAAGGAAGCCTGACAGAGCAAGGGGAAGTCAGGCTAATGTGGAACAGTTCAAGGTTTGATTTTAGGGCAGCAGAATAAGGAGGATGTGCAGTGCAGCGCTGGGATATGGATCCAAATTGAGGGTGCAAACAAGTCTGGGACAGGGATATTTTAAGTAATTGAGGACCAGTAGCAGGGCTACAAAGCCAGATGTTTTTTGTGGAACACACACGCATTGCCACATCCCCAGAAAACCACCGCTTTGCCAGCAAAGAAACAGCATCTACCACCAACCTGCCTCCTGCCCCCGCCACACACCCCCTCACACTGGCTCCAGGCAGGAGTCCTGAGCAATGCATGAAGGACCTCCTTGACCAGGTCCTGGGGGTGAAGGGCTTGGCCACTGTGATGATAAACAAACATCAAGGGTTTACGTGGCATCAGAGCCAGTAGATAAGTGTTCCTTGCCTTTCCAGGCAGGGCTCAGGCCCAGGCACGGCCCTGTCATGCAGGGCTTGTGCAGCTGGGCCCGGAGGGTGCTCTGCAATACAAATGTTGGCACCAAAGGAGTTCCACCCTGAGCCTTGCAGAAGCCCATGGAACTCAAGGACAGGTGTACCTCAGGGAGCTCTTCCTCTCAACAAAACGGGCTTCCTCCACTGGTAGTTGGGGTCTATGAATGTTGATTGGAGAGACAAGGTCATTTCTGGAAGGGCAAATGGAAAGTCCTGCTGAGAAACCTGGCTGATGCATGGTCCAGGCCCAGAGAATCAGCTGCCGGGGAATTAGGCATTGCTCTGGAAGCTCTCCCAGCTGCATACCTTACCTGCAGCTCATGGGGTAATCTTGCACCCAGACCTAA